AATTTAATATAAGTATAATAATAGCTCTAACAACCTACGGCGATCTATAAAAACGCCTAAATATCGAATATCGTCTCTTAGTAAATAGCAATAGTAGGAGCTTACTTAGTAATATAAAATACTTTAAAAATATCTAAGTCCGGAAGAATATATTACTCGTTAAACTTATATAAAGGCTTATAGAAAGTGCTCTTCTTTTTCTTCTTATAGTACTTACTATATTAGGTCTAGCTATATATAATATTATAGTATTTATTAGATCTCGTTTTACTCTACTTAAGTTTATAGATAGGAGGTAAAGGCCCGTCCGCTAGTAGCGACTAGTTAATTTCTATAATAGACTCTTAATTATATTTTAGACGCTATATAGAGTCCGGAAGTAGAATTGTCGAGTTATATATAATCTATTCGATCTCGTTAGAGACCTCGTCTTTTCGACTCTATATAGATAGTATAAAGATATCTAAACTTAATACTAATAGTATAGATTAGGAAACTTTTCTATAAAGTCTCTATATTAGTCGATATCGAAACTTTCGTCGGAGGTATACTTATATATAAGTATCTTACTACTAGGCTAAGCTTAATAATAGAGGCTATAAATATTAGATATCTTAGTAGGCTTACGAAGACTAAAGACTATAAATATAGAATACTTAGAGGCTGCTTTAGTTTCGTATACTATAATTAATCTCTCTAGTATATTAAGATACTTATATAAAAGGTAAGTAGAGGACGTTACTCTATATCTATTATAGCAGACTAAGCCTAGTAGAGCTTATAACGTACCTAGGTTATTACCGGAAGTATCTTATATATCGTCGATATAAGATAGCTAGTTATATTCGCTAGTAGTAATAAAGCTTTTAATAAGGTTAACGGTCTATATAGCTACTATTAGAGAGTAGTAGAAGTACGAGTTATATTTATTTAAAGTACCTAAGAATATAGAGAGAAGTCTTATATTTAGAGTTAGTCTAGAAATAAGTAAGAGCTAAGATATTAATATATAATAAAGTAATCTTAGTAATACTTATATTTCTCGGATATATTAGATAGTATTATCGTATATACGTAGAAATATACTATTCTATAACGAGTATTAAACTTATAGCGATTAATTTACTAGTCTCGCTTACGCCTAAAGGCCTAAAATAGAGATCCTAAAAGTTAGAGGACGAGCCGAGATTACTATATAGTCCTAGTTATACTTCCGTAGTACTCTCGCTAGGTTGCCTATCTTATATTCTTAATATAATATTTCTATAGTCCTTTCGCTATATTATAGTTATTCGATTAGTAGATAAACTAGAGTCCTTATCTTATACTATATATCTCTTATAGTACTACTTTCGCTAATCTTATAGCTATTAGAGTTTCTATTTAACGTTTCGGCTAGAGCTTCGGTCCTATAGTATAGTCTAAGGCCGGTTAGTAATATATCTAGGTTACTATATAACTAGTATACTAGAGCTTATATATAGTTAAAGTAGAGTATAGGTAAGTATAGCTTATAATTTATAGCCTTACCTATACTCGTAGCTCTCGTACCTATATAGATACTATATGCCTATAGCTATTAAGGTTATATATCTTAAAAGAGTTATTTAAGGCGCCTATATAACTATACTCTAGCCTATATACTTACTTTAATTTAGAATCGTATATCTCTAGTAATAAGACGCGACTACGTACTATATTAATAAAAACCTACCTCTACTATTTAAAGAAGATATAGAGGCTATAACTATCTTAAATATAATTATCTCGACTTATCTTAGATCTTAGCGCCTAAAAGTATAGATTATAAAGGATTTCTTTCGGTAGTATAAGAGTCGCTCTTAAGGGATCTAGCTACCGCTTATCTAGTCTAATCGCTATATATATTGCGAGTAGGTTTCGACTACGAAAATAGCTTTATAAGAAGTATAGAGAATAAGGTAACTTCGCTAGTAAGTTCTCGACTTGCTTCTAGATAACTAGGTACCCTTTTAAGTAAGCGGATAAGTATCCTAACGATATATAGAGTAAAATATCGGTTGGAAACTATTTGAAATGTCTGGCCGCAAGCAAAGAGTAGCTCCATCTTAGTTCACCTTAGAGACCACCGTGCATCGCCATGTCCCGAGTCAGGGTCCAATACGCACCGCGCCGCGCCGCGCGTGGAGGATAGCTCGGCCCGGGGCCGGTCAGGTGTAGTGTAATGACAACGATAAATGCATAGGAAGACATTAACAACTTATTCGTATTATGATCAACACCACCCGCGCACAACCGACACTAGCACTCGAATCCTTCCGAACACAATGGGCGACGCATCCCAATCGCGAGCTTCCCGCGCGACTAACGATACGGTCGCACTATCGACTGCCTCGATACAGCCTTCGACCACATCCACCGCCATCCAGCTATCGACACCGACGCTACACTGCGATCCCCTATCGCCTGCGTGTAGACAAACGGTCAGCCTGCGCTAAATCTAAACTCAGGCTGTACTTGTTGCGATGATCTCGAAGCAAAAGAGACTGGAGTGGGTATAACATGTCGGTAGCGGGACTGATGACCGAGTGGCTGCGCAATCTCGCGTCCAGACGTGGAGAAGACTTGCGGTCGCCGTTCTCGGCCGAGACGAGCAACGAGGCAACAAGACGGCTACGAGAAAGAGAAAGGCAGACGGTTGCTTAGATACTGAACGGACAAGCATTGAGGACAAATCGGTACATGTGCAACAGCTACCATAAGGGAAAAGAAGATAGCGGAGGCTATCACGCCCTGACAGCGAGATCGACGGCGGCGGCAGCGGCGAACACCGTAGTGAGGAGCAGGCAAGCGGCGATAGCGGCGACGGGATCATTGTCATCAGCATAGCAAGCAGAGGAAAGAAGCGTCTCTGCTGTCGCTTTCTCGAGCAAAATCACTAACAGTCCCCAGTTGGCCGCTTTCAAACCTCCACGCGCCGACACCAGAGCGTTCAGAAATGTCTGGGGCTGTCCGACGTTACGACCTTCCCGCTTGCCGTTGAGCTCAAATTTGGTCGACATATTCTTTATGGAGAAGGCGGGCAGGAGAGTCGAGGAAGGAGCATGGTTTTGGAGATCAGGCAAAATGAGGGCTCGAGGATATGTTAGCAGGAGAAGGCAGAGACGAGGTCTCGAGGATGCGGCAACATCCGAGGAAGGAAGGAGTAAGGACTGCAACACAGATGAGGATATCGAGCTGTAGCGATGGATGGCCGAGGTCGCTTCGCTGGATGTGGCGATGCGTGGGAACAAGATGAGCATCTTTGACAACTCCCGTTGAATGCACGCGAGAGCCGTCAAGGCCACGAGGATGCTGCGCGAGCGCATTGAGACGGTCTCAGTGTTGGCGCCCACAGAAGTGCCTCCAAGCTGGAGCAGAACTTCGTATTTCCCCAACTGGGAAGCGACAGCCGCATAGCCCGAGCGCACGACGAGCGATCGGCTTTGTTCACGTCCAACAGCTAGCCCGCAATGTTCACGACAGACACCGGACTCCCGGTCGTCGCGCTGCTAGGGAGGCAACACGAGTGGCAGCGAACAAGGCTCGCGACAGGCCATCAACGCGCACGCAAGCTGGGACAGGATCGCTACCAACGGGAGGAAGAGTCGCTTGCGCCGCGCCAGTGAGCCGAGCAGCATCGCATGGAATACCACTTCACACGAGAAGCACGAGAGTCTGCAAACGTCCCGGGTACGCAACTACTCCAGAAGTTGCACTCAGAGGTACTATCACGACGAGATCTGCCCCAACTACTCCACACTGACATTGGCTCAGGAGTAAAGCATTCCGGATCGGTGCCTGTTCGATGCATCTCGCAACTTCCACGTCCTAACAGCTCTCGAGAGAGCCGAAGTGGCCAACAAACTGCAGCCAACATGACTCCCGAAAATCAAGTCCAAACGAGCTTGGCGGTATGCGCACGAAGAACCTTCTCTCAACCACAATCAGACCCGAGAGAGGCGAAGGACGTGCAATCTCACAGCGATAAGCGGCCAGATTCAGCCGCATGAAGTTGTTTGACGGAAATCTGGCTGCCGCTGCCTGGAGGACCTTGTCCGAGCCGCCACCGAAAGCGAAAAAGGCGTACCAGGATGAACTTGAAGGAGGACCGAAGAGCTCAGAAGCTGGTGAGAGGAGGACGAAGGCGGTTTTGACAAGGCAGGGGCCGGCGTGACTCGGGACGCAACGCACCGGTGCATAGAACTGTGTCGATGCTTGAAATACCAAGCTAGACCGCACTGTGCGGTAGGAGATCCCGTGTGCATTGGGCAACACTATTGATTCTCGAGCTCGCTGTCGGACTGCACCTTCGCGACCAGCATAGCCATCAGGCGAGGAGGACACGAATCGGCTCGTGTACTTGGGAACTCGACAATTAGCAAGAGCAGCATATCGTGACAATCCCGACGTGCCTTCCGGAGACACCCAGCTGTCGAGTTAGAATACACCTTGAAATTCTGCTGCCAAAGGTGGCTAGTATAATCCTGTGTCAGCCTCAATCTGGCGACACCAGCGCCTCCTTCCGCCCATGTAGAGCGCATCCCCAAGGCTGGCCGATGAACACTCTCCTTCGACGCTAGGACTACTAAAGCCCTAATTTTTGTCGTAAAGCGCAAGAGACCCTGTGGTAATTGGCCGCCTTTCTTGCGCCATCTAGTACTTGCGGCTATCAGGGCTAGCTACGAAGATTCTAGTTCCAGGCTCTCGGTCCGTCTCGCAAAGTGCTTAATACGCTTTGCGGAGCTAGGCAGAGATACGATATACTACGAGATAGTAATAGCAAAGAGCTAGGTACTATATGAATTTACTCGCAAAGCGGAGGGTACTGTAATAATTTCCTCGCAAAGAGGCGAAAGGGCATAGAGCTGGAAGGCGGTTATTATGTTGCAGTATCCCGATTCTTATCGCAATAGGGTGACCACATATTACGAGGGGAATCCTACTATTCAAAAGAAGACTATCCTCAATCCCGCCATACTAAGGGTAGGTAGGTCGATTTCTCTCGCATAGTGGCGATTGCGCTTTGCGAGAGAGATCGTGAGCTAACAGTAAGCACTTTTAGAGCTGCTCGTTAGCAGAGTCAGAAAAAGCGCCTTTCAATTAGCCGTCTTATCTTCTGGCGCTCGCTATTAGCTGCAACGATTCGCGTACGAGCAGGCGTTGGTATCTTCCGGGTTTGATTTCTGTCGCAAAGAGCGAAAGTCGCATTGCGAGGAAAATCAAGACCTCGCCCACTTAGCACGCTCGGGGTCGGCGAGCGGGACGATGTAGCATAGACTGGTTTTCCAGCCAAGCTACCACTCATCATTGTAGCAGTGTTATTAGTCATTCAGGGAATGTACCGAGCAGGCAGCTCAATCTCAAGCCTGTTATACTCCCGTATCATAGTCTGCCTCGTCGCTCTCTCCTTCCGGGTTTCCCCATAGCCCGCTGTGTACGATGGGCGTGGCGACGATAGTATGCGATTGAGCCAGGTTCCTCGCCCTCGCCCGGGTCGTCATCAGAAGATCCACTACGTGGAGCGCGATCATGATCGAAATTGAAGGAATTAACGTGGACAAGCTGCGGCTGCTTCTACTGCTAGAGCATGCCATGGTCCAAGTCTGTATTCACGGCATTCAGCTGACTCTTCAATTCTTGGATGTAAGCCTGGTAGGCGCTGATTTCTCTCGCAAACAGCGTATTGATTTCTATCGTTTAGTGACCCCACGTATACCACACGACGTGAGCACTCCTAGTCACTTCTGAGCGAGGGGCCGTGAGTGACACGCCGAAGACCAATGTGCATTAGTATAAGTACGCATAGGAATGCCCTTATAATTGCTTTATTGAGTGCACCAGCGAACAAGCTGGGCATGAGCTTTGTCGTTGTCCTTGACGCTTCAGGCCACGCTTGGAGTCCATTATCTTCTTGCTGTGCGTTACTGTCTCTCATGAAGCTGCTCACCGAGCTCGTCAGCTTGAACAGGAACTGCATGGCATCATGGCAATAAGCTCCGGACTCCTGGACGTAGCTGCATCGACGTCGACGATTCGCCCGATGCATCGGCGAGGAGGATTGGCAAGATCTATACGGAACGAAGATTAAGAGACCATGTGTGTTTGTGTTGAGTGGACGAATGGAGTAGGTTTTCAACGCGCAATCGTGTCCTTGAATCAAGCGAACACCGTCGTCCACTGCTGCACTAAGTTGAAAACTCACGACCAGCAACAGGCCCCGAGGATGCGACTCCTGATGATTCTTCGGCCGAGCAGCAGCAAGGGAACTCCGTGGAAAAGGTCGTGGACGGGAGGCAGGAGGATGGAGATATCCTCTATAGGGTTCAGTGGGAAGAATACTTAGAGGATGACTTCTGGGCTGGAACACCTTGTTTCTAGCCATTAAAAGATTGAAGACAGTCCGCAGCCATATATCCGGCCGCACCGTCCACGAATGATTGCCACCTATCGCTAGAACAATAAGCAAGGATTTCGCCCAGAGCCCGGCACAGATCATGAGTTCCCGCTGTATGTTCAGCTTCTTAGCCACGATGATGATATGGAAAGACACCACACCCCGGTGAACAGATGACCCAGCGATTACGGTCTTGACTCACGATCAATTGGGGAGACTTAACAAGAAGGCACTCTCTGTGGACATTCCCCGTGCCTGCCAATTTGGATTGACGAGGTTGAACGAGTAATGGTCGCGGCGCGAAACATGCAGCGTGCGACCCGCGAGTCAGCATTGACTCTTGGTTCCGGGGCCTCTTCCTCTTACGTGCTTCGTTCGCCGCCACTGGCACAGTAGGTCAACCTACTGAGAAGGTGGCTGGGCTAAAGATCATCTCGCTCAAGTTCGCTGAAGTTTTGCGAGAGTATGTTGGGTGAGATTTTTTCGTGGTTGACGAAGAATAATGGAAGACCTGTCTGTTGTTGTAGTGCATAGAGCCTGTGAGATGCGTGGCGACAACAAATGGAGCTTGTTTTATGACGAGTAGCATAGCAAGACTCTGCGCACGAAGGACATCTACGCAGAGCTAATGGCGGCGATCTCAACGACACAATTCCGATATCCTCACCTTTACAATAATTCAACAAAGTCGCATTGTGCTTAAAAGGTCCCATCTAAGCATCTTCTCCCTTCAACACATAATTCTCGCGTTCCAAACCGGATGCACGGCACGCTGAATCGCACACTTCATTCTCAACAGTAGAAAGATGTTACGGACGCGCACGACCTTCGACCTTTGGACCTGTTAATTGAAGATGTATTCAAGAATAGCAAGGATCCGTGCTCGTAGCAGTGGTGCCATGTGGACTGAGGCGGTCGATGCTATTACGAGTACTGAAAAGCGGAGAGATATAGAATTGAGGGAGAGAGTTGTTAAAGAAGGCGGGTGGGGATATGAGCCTCGTGTTTAGCAATTGTGAGCTTGAATACTAGCTTTGCCCCATTAAAGTCAAGACATTCCTAAGTGGTTGTCATAGTCTTGCTCTGTTGTGATAGCTTGTTGAAGATGTCAAATTCGTAGAGGCAGTCAGAGTACTCATCAGAATAACCAGCCTCAAGCGTTACCTTGCGAGTCCCCACTGTGGCAGAGTTGGCACTAGGAGCTGGCGATGAGAAGAATGTATCACCAAAGACAGTGTTTCTCAAGGCATTCTGTTCGTCTCTAGTAATATCAAAAGACTTGCCTAGGCATCTCATTCTATCAACAGCCTTGTAACCAATCTCATCGCACTTCTCACACAGGAAGCCCATGACGTTATGGTATCTCCTGTGGCCATCGATTAAATCATTAGATAATGACTTTGCGTCAAATGGCGGCCATCCTCTCCCACCTGATGCTCCAGGTTGTAGCGGCTGCGGAGGCTGTGGAACAGGCTTGGATCCTGGCTGTGGTGACTGAAGAACAGATGGCTGCTAATGTTGAAGTGGTCTCGTATTCGGTCCTGCGCCGGAGCCGGTGCGTTCAGCTTTTCCCTAATTTGACTGGCTTCCGTTGCAGTGTGGACCCAGCGCCTTCGCACATTAACACAACCTTTTCAAAAGACATCTTCTGCCATGCCTTAATTGGCCGTTAGCAATATCTGCTTGTTGAGTTCGGGAACCACAGTGATCATCCAAGGTGGCATCTTGCTTTAGCCGATAATATCAAAGAGATGTGGCTTATGATTTGACAACTTCTTGAGATGGCGCAAAGTGTCCAGTTTGTCATGTGGAATGCGAATGGTATCATGCCTGCCATCATTCAGGTTGAGTGTAGGCATAAATTCATCCATCAGCTCCAGCCTCTTGGTTCCCACCATACGTGTCATCAACCCTTTCTCCACGGCCAATACAAAATCTTGGAGGCGTGAGTGTTCGAAGGCACCTTGCAGGGATCGCTTGGGCTGGGTGCAATACCCGAGAGACTCGGTTCTAGGGCTGCCCGCTGTGTTCCTGGTGGTACTCGAAGGTCTCGAAGCGCATGCGGTCCAATATCGCACCTCGAAATCCGTAGAAGGTGTTTCTGCCTGCGAAGGCTTACAGTCGTGTCACTAGAGGTGTGGCCTTCAGGTGATCGCACCTTGGCTGTTGGTGACACCCAGCAGCGATCGCCAGTCTTAGTAAATTGGCAGGCTGTACACCTCCATCCGTGGAGTCGGAGATGGGGTTGGATCGAATAAATCATCTGGCGAGCGCACGCGACTTCATGAGCGCATCGGCGCACCAAAAAATCAGACGAATACAGCACCCTCCCACGCCGCTTCACGACAGTTACCACGAATCACTTACGACAACTCTGAACTCCTCCCCACATCCATTCTGGCAGTGGGCAAGTCAATCTTAATAATGGGTTCGAGTTTCGTCTTCTCGGCAGTAAACTGAAGTTCCTTCATGTTAATAATAGATTCGAGGTTCGTCTTCTCGGCAGTGAACTAAAGTTCCTTCTTATTAATGATGGATTCGACTTTCGTCTTCTCGACAGTAAACTAAAGTTTCCTTCTTGTTGACGACTGCTAGAAAACAGTTCTGCGAAGAGTG